CAAATGGGTCCACGCTTCACCAAGTAAGTGTTGTGATTCACAGCAAGAACCCTCTGCTGCTGTACATCCTTTTCTTTGTGGGGCACATGCTTTTCTACTTCATATGCTTTATAGGAGTTGGAGACATCTGCACATTCTCTTCTGGGGCATCTGGCAAAAAGTTGCCATGGCCACCATCACCTCTATCATCCCCACTACTTCCTGGTACCACAATGATTCCTCCAACTTCAAGGAAGCCCAGGACTGGGACAGGAAGCCCACGGGTGCTGTAATCTCCATGGACACATTTCTATACTGTGGGGCAGAATCTCCTTCATGAGTGGCTTTAAAGAATAGTTCAGACTAACATTTGTCAGGATTGATCCAAGGGTTGGACTAGATGACCTCTTGACTTCCGTTCTTACCCTACCTTCTAATGATTTTTATGAAACCCCTACTCATGCAAGCAATCACCTTATTTTTTCTCTGGCTCTATGTACTTCCATTGCTTTGCTTTCTTCCCTTCCGAAGGATGTGAACAAATTTTTATTATTTTTATATTTTGATTAAAATTTGTAAGCAGCCCTATGCAGCATTAGGAAGAAGATATTTTTAAACTCCCCACACTTCATTACATTAGCTTGTTTTGGCAAAATTCTGTTCATTAACTAGAGTTTACAAAACCAAATTTGTTTTAACAGATCTTCTGTTGTTATCTCCTTGACAATGAAATCGCAGCAGGGTGGTGCTGTTGCATTTTTTTCATCATCTGCTGCCTTTTTAATAAGTGCTGCACAGGAGTAACAAACTCAGGCTGCTGGGGTTTTGATGCATTGCCAAGAGTATGTACGGAAGTATGTGCATCAGGTGTAAAGTTAAGAAAAAATAGCCATACGTTTTCAAAGAGTTTTATGGAAATATAAGCCACTAACTCCCATTGTCTTTTATGAAACTATGTAACTCTACTTTATGTACTTTGTGAAATTGAACACTTAGGGCTTAATGGCAAGTGAGATCTAAAGAGGTTTGTTTTTACAGAAAGTTATACATCAAAAAATGTATGGGGGAGAACAGGTATGCTGAGCTGGATCCTATAGCTGCCCTTGTTAAATAGATTCCAGGGAAAAGCATTGTGTGTAGCTCAGCAGTCTATAAAATGCTTATCTTTCCTATTATGCCATTAATTTACTTTGCAGCTTCCTATACTATTTTCAGTCACAGAGAAACGTGGAATTAGCAATAAGGATAGTGCAGCTCCAGTGAACTAGACAGTCCACTGCATTTGCAGAGTGGTTATAGGACTGGCTATGCATTTTCTTGAATAACCTGATCTCTGTTTTGTTTTGGTTTTCGGGTTTGTTTGGAAGGAAATCTAGCAAGCACAGCAGTATTCACTTTCTGACACAGAAGCCCCTTCTGGGGCTAGAGGTTTGATCCGGGTGGATTCAGGGATGGTGCACCCATGTACATGTGGATGCACCCCTCTTCTGACATTGTGTTCAGATACTCTAAGCACAAAGGGAACCCCAGAGCCATTCCTGACATGCTCCTGCCCTGCTGGAGTGGGTATGTGGGGAACCAGCTAGAGACAGTGGTTGTAATGCAGATTCCTGATTCTGGTGCATGCTTTGAAACAGCAGGGAGCACCGGGGGTGGAGAGGGCATGAGAGAAGGGAGCATGGCTAAAAAGAGAAACCTGCATGCCATTGCAATAGTCTCCAGCCAAGCCTAGCTCCCCACACAGCCACTCCCCACAACCCCCAGCTGGAGCAAGTAGAGAGCAGCACTGCACATTCCCCCAAAACATTCCAATTTAAATTTATCAATAAAAGAAGTACTGCCATTTCAAATATTGACAAGAAGGTCTCATTTCTTGGACCCACTGCAACAATAGGCCCCTGTGTGGTGTCCCACCCACATCTGTTTAATGAAACACAGGCTGCTCCTTGAGGGAGCAAAAGAAGCAAATAGCCTCTGGATTTGTTCATTAGCATAGTGTTAATAATTTACTAGATAGGCTGTCAGACTTTAAGCAACCCAAGCATTGTGGGCCACTCAGCCTCTGGTACCAGCAGTGTGAAGTGCAATAGCTTGGACACACAAATGTCACGCTCAGATATAGAAAATAGGGGTCTAGTAAAAACCTCTCTCCTCCTTTTCACCTGCAACAGCAGGTTTCCTTGACCTAATCTTTCAACACCATTCTCAACTAGCCTGTTTTCTGTCGACTTCTCTACCACTAGCTCTTATTCCTTTTTAAGCTCAGTTCCTTTTACAATTCCCAATGCCACTAGCATATAGCCAGATCACTCATTCGGCTTTAGCACTTCTCTATTTTCCTTTTGAACAAGCAGAGTGGAATGGATCCATGTGCCTACATGGGAATGCTGGCTGATACAACTTCTGCCATTTAATAAACACTTTCGCCATGACAGAACTGAGGTACAGAGGAAGGAGAACATTGTGACAATTCTGCCTTTCCCCCCTGAATAGATTCCCTTTTCACAGCTGTATTACCCTTGTTACATATGTAGACTCAAGATTTTCCCAAGTGTTGAGTATTTGGAGTATCTTGGTTTTTGGATGTTCAATTTGAGGCATCATAAAGGTTACCTGATTTGATTTTCAGAGGGTGGATTCTCAAAACAAATGGAAGCACCTATATGATACTATATGATACTAAAGTAGTTTGTATGTGTGTGTGTTTTACTGGATTCTGCGGGGGTGGGGAGGGGTGTGGTTTAGGGGCAGTGACTTTAAAGATAGTTTCCATAGACATACAGTCTAGGGGAAGAAATTACACATAAACCAGTATAAGTGATCAGAAACCAGTTCTTATCCGTAACACAATGGAAGTTCAGTGCACATAAACCTCTTTCAAAATGGCTAAAACTGGTTTAAGATAAACCTGGGTAGATGTAGTATCAAACTTAACTGATTAGGTTAAATCAGTTTATTGAACTTCTGTCCCAGATCCCCTCCAGATTCAAGTTAACTCACAGTCTCCCGGCATCCCAGGATGCTTTGCACCTCCCCCACAAACCCCTGTTGCAGGGTGGGTGAACTAGCCTTGTCCCAAGCTGTCTGCTGCAGCTGAGCAGGGAGGTATGCTCTAGCACTCCCTGGGTTCTGTCCTAGGCCACTGCAGGCAGGTGGCTGCATTTCTGGAATCAAAAGTAAATGTCCGTTTACTTGCTCATTGGTTCAATCTATGCAGCTTAGACTAACCTGCGAAATTGAATTGATTCAACGCAGTTTAGGGGAGCCCTACCAGGACTGAGCCCCCAAATTTCTCTCACAGGCCTTGCTTCTGACGCTTTGAACTTAAGACACATTTGGGCAATACCTTGTCTTAGTTATATAGTGCCTACCACTGTGATTCTCAGCATTTTTTGGACTCAAGGCACCCATCAATGGACTTGAGGCACCTCTCCATTAACTTTGGTGAATTGTTGGTGCCCAATTTCAAAATGATATGTTACAGTGCTTACCCCTTTGTAGAGGAGCTGGGTAATGAAGGTGAAGGGCAAGCCTAAGCCTGTACTTATCTGCTTAGTTGAGAATCACTGGCCAAGCAGAATGGGACCTATTCTACCTCAAGAGAAATAAAGCAGAATTATTTGCTGGATTATGATCAGTTCCAGAAGTCTCTAAGAAATCCAGTCTTTGTTGCACATGTAAATCAGTCCAGCTGTTTGTTACACACATGCTTTTCATTTCACACATACAGGGACATGGATTTACATACAGGGATAATGGCATGGCCATCATAGAGGTGGCTAGGGTGGCCACCATAGAGGACAGTCCAGTTGTCCTCTGTCCTCTATTGATATGAAATCTAACACCTTTATGTCCTCTATTTTTTTCTTGAAAAGTCTTGAAGAGAAAAATAGAGGACATAAAGGTGTCGGGTTTTGTATCAATAGAGGACAGAGTGGCAGAAAACCGGACTGTCCTCTATGATGGCCACCCTAGGCCCAGCATTTTAACTGCAATCCCCATTTTCCCTCCCAGCCTCCTGACCCCTTTGAAAACAGGTGTAGGTAGGAGGAAGGTCTGTTTTGCTAACTTGGCTTCTGCCCCTGGGTACGGACCAGAAAAGCCCAGGGATGGTTCATAGGGAGACCTTCGGTTTTTCCCTCAGCTCCAGTTGGATAATCTGGCTGGTCTGAGTGCGACAGGGTCCAGCAGCTCGAGGGTGCCTATGCCTAAGGTAGAAAGCAGGAGGGGAGGGGGTCAACCTCTGCCCTATCTGCTCGAAGACTGAGTGGTGGGAGTATGTGATGTGCCAGACTAAAGAGTCTGGGATGGAGGGTGCTTGCCTGTAATATCTGGGGGCATCCAAACCCCAAGACCTCTGGGCTTGGGCCCGCAGGTAGGATGCCTGCCCATGGATTTGGGATCAGGACTTGTGGTAGAGGTGATATCTTTTACTAGGCCAACTAGATTTTTGCAAAACAAAAATTAAAAAAATCTTTAATTGCAAGTTTTCAGGCACAAGCACTCTTCTTCAGGCACAGGAGAAAAGACTGCAGCAGTCCTCCTGGGTAGAAATGAAAGTTTGTATGGGTCTGAAGTCCCAGGGTGATGGGGCGGGGATGGAGGATGCCTGCCTGTTGTAGTGCCATCCAGGGCGTCCAGAACAATTGAGTTCTGGAAACTCAAGCCATATTATTTGGAGCTGCTTTGGCTAATTCGATTTGGAACACGAAAGATATTAATTAACCAAAAAAAATCTGCTGTGTACAAACAAGAGCGATGTCCCCAGCCTGGACTTCCCCTGCTCGCGGCTCGTCTAAAGGCAAGAGCAGAGACTCGCCCTCGTCCCCGCCCTGCGGCCCATCAGTCACCCTGCCCGGAGGGTGGAGGCCCTTGGTCGTGGCTGCGTTTTGTGTTTCCAGCCGTTCCCTTCCCTTCCCTCCCTCCCCGCCCCTC